GTCTCCATTTGAATTCCAGTCGTACTACTTACCAGCTATTCAACTTTAAGTAACATTTAATTTTTTAATTGTCCTGTGCCACAATTTGTCTATAAGCTAAGGATAATACCTTCAGAACTTCTTGTGAAGGTTATGGAACTTTTTTCATGTCAGGCATTTAAAAGAGCATCTAACACAAAGTTGGTACTTGTAAACATTTGCCATTATCACTATTGGCTTTTCTATTAAATCTCTTCTTGTAAGTTATTTCAAAATTCCTCAAATTAAAAATAATATGGTTCTAAGAATATTTACCTGTATTCAAATAACATTTTGAAAGCCAATATATAATCATTGAATATACTATTTAAATACAGAAGGTCTATTAAAAATGCAATATCATCGTTGCTCTTAACATTTTCCCCAATGCATACTACATTGTTACTTGCCTGAAGAAATCCTGAATTCTCAGAATTTATAATAATTATTAGATGGTAGAAAGAGATATTCTTAAAAATCTTGACTATAACTGATCCCTGAATAACTGCTTTGTTTTTTCCTACATGATACTCGGTTATTAGGAGTTAAGACCCAAGGTTGATAACTACAGAGAAATAACAAAGGGATCTCTTGTAGTAGCAGCTTTCCTTCAAGGCTGTGCTGGGCCAACATTCCCCACCCCACCCTTAGCTGGCACCTCAGAATCACCTGGATGGATAGCCTGACAAAGGCATACCATGACCTACTAAAGAGACAACAATGATATAGCAAATGTTTACATGTATGTAAGGATCATTAGTTTAGACTAAAGAACGCTACTTAGCTTAAGAGCTCTCGGTTCTAACACCCACAATCTCAAAGAACACTCACAGCTTACCTTCAGTGAAGCATATCAGAAGCTGGGACTAACCTGCTCTCCTCCTCCAGCAAAGGGGCTGCCTCAGAGCCTATGACTACCTATCTCCCACAGGGTCCAATGCATAGGGCTGAGGGGATAATGGGTCATCCAGATTCTGCTAGAGATCTTATGCCTATCACAGTGTGTGGAGCCTCAGGAGGCAGATTAACATGTTCCATAACATACCTGCATCAGATCTTGTTTTTCTTTTTCTCCTGAGCTAATTGCCTTTCTGATAGATTTCAATTCAGTTAGAATGGCTTTGGCTTGACTAAGTTCGTACCCACTCTGGCCTCCAGACATTTTTTTATCAATTCTGTTAAAAGAAAAACATCAAGGCATGACACAGTACAAATTTGTTTTGGATTGTCTTTGCTGGCTGATTATTTTACTTCATGACTCTCATACTTGAGCACCATCTTTTCAGGCTGACTGTGTGCTCTTTTTTAATCTTATATAGTTAAGACTTTTCCTATTCCCTACCTCATAACTGGTCTATTTCCAATAACTTTCAGGCTCAAACACATCCTGCCTTTTCTTTCAGTCTGTTTGGGATGACTGCACTACTGGCTGAACCCAACTCATCACAAGCCAATCCTGATCTCCACTCTGACAGGAAAAGGGCAGAAGCAAATGTTATAGCAGGACAGAAATGTCAATAAATGGCCACTTAATTTACATATCATGATAATCTGTGTGAAACCTAGTACAGAGCTGGCAGCCAGGTAGGCTTTTAATAAATGCTTACTATATAATTATGTATACTAATAGATCATATCCTAAGACATTTGGATTATATGGTTTCTTATTTCTTTCTCAATATATAAAAATCATCTATTTTTATTAAAGTTAATGAGATGATATAAAATTGCTTGCCTTGCTGAATAAGTTGAAATTTAGGAATAAAACCGAAGGGCAGAGATGTTCATTTGTCAATTCACACAGTAAATAGCTCTTTCAGTGAGCTAATTTATTATCCCTGCAGATCTGCTTATCAAATGTCCTTACAGTTTATACCGCTACTCTGGGCTAGAGGGTTCTGTGTAACCTAATTCTCTGTGTCTGAAAGCTCAACCAAGTTACCTTTTTTTTTTTTTTTTTTAAATGGTTGAACACTCTCTTCGTGGTCACTCTCTTGGTTCTCCCAACCACTTCTGTGCAGTACTCATTATGAATACAATTTGAGCTTTACTTGTGGGACTAACCCTCTGCCCCATCAGACACTAGTGCTACACACATTCTCAGATATGACCTTGTTCTTATCCTCAGACTGTGCAGAGAAATGGAACCTCTTAAGTTGGAGAAGATGGACTCTGAGCTTGTTTGGTTTAAAACATTTAATAATTAATACATATTTTCAATATATACGGTATAATCTGGAAAAAAACAAATGCTATCTTAATCACTCTACCAAAGTTGATTCAAACAAGTGTACTTTACAGATAACATATTTCACTAAGTACTATTTCAGCAAACACTTTATGCTACTGAGTAAGCAATTAAAGCCTTTAAAAACCTAATCAAATAAACTTGATATAAGCTCATTGAATGATAAAATGTGACTACTTAATCCACAGAATTAGAGAGAGAGAAAAAAGGAGAGAGGAGAGAGAGGAGAGAGATGAGAGACAAGGAGAGAGGAGAGAGAGAGAGAAGGAGAAAGGAGAGAGGAGACGAGAGAGAGAGAGAGAGAGGAGAGAGGAGAGAGAGGAGCGAGGAGAGAGGAGAGACAGACAGAGACAGACAGAGACAGAGACAGAGACAGAGAGAAATGTAGGGTGAGAAAGAAAAGGGCCCTAGAGATTCCTAAGCTATATTTTTAAAATAAAGAAACCAAAGTCAGATATCTTATACAAATTTAGCCCCTGAAGTGCATAAACACTTAGTTAGCAGGACAGTCTCTGAAAAGGACAAACTCTAGCTTACATCTCTAATACTTGATGAGAACAGCGAAATACTTTGAATTTTAGGAAGAGAGATAATCAATGAATTTTTTGATTTCTCTAAGTATTATAACCACCAATTTAGTAGCGGCAAAGGCTTGTTAATAAAATAAGTACTATTTCCAAATACTGAATTTTGGCATCTTTGAATACAGTATTCTTAAAACAAAAAACAAGCAAAAAACAAAAGCTATGAGATTTTATGCAAAAGCTAGTAATAAAGGTATCTAAAGCTGTCGGGAGTAAATGTCCAAGCCCAAGTAATTTCTTCTTCCTATTTGTGCAAAATCCACGCAACAATGTAAAATTACATCTTTAATTCAGAAATAATCTTATCATTTGAAAATAAAAGTAAGTTATGGTTAAGAAAGAAAAAACCTAACATTTAAAAACAAAACCACAACTAGTTCAGGCTTTTAATTTAAATTTTCAAGTGTTTTAAAATTAGATGAGGGCTGGGGATATAGCTCAGTCGCACAAGTGCCTGTCTGACAAGTGCAAGGCTCTGAGTTCGAATGCTGGTAATAAAAAAATACATAAAATTAGATGAAATTTTCTCAGTTATCTCTAGGTCCACAGTATGGAGAGCATGAGGAATCAGCTATCACACTCAGCATTCTCCACAAGCCATTCTGTCCTCCTGTCCCTTTCTCTGTCTCCTTTGAGCTCTTCCCCTTTATTTCATAAGCTGATTTCTTTCTATGAATTTCCTTTTTCTCCTTTACTTATTTCCAACCTTTTCCCTCTTTCCATATAAGTGACTGTAACTAAAATATGAGCATCGCTTACTGGCTTGCTGGCTTTGTGTGCGTGCATGTGTGTGGTGGCGGACATGCACTTAGAGCCTCTGCGCATGTGGTAGGCAGGTGCTCTGTCCCTGGACTATACCCTGAGCCTTTTGATGGCTTTTAAACTGAAGTACTGTGCTTTTTGTCTTAAGAAGAACTTAAGTATGTTTTCTTATTTCTTTTAAGTTTTGACTTGTGCGTACCCAAAAATTAATTTTTACTGAGTCTCTTTTGAAAGATTTCAATTTGCATGCCTTCTTCAAAAAATGTTTATCTTCAGCACCAAATTTCCATAGAATCTGTACATACTTATGGTTTGCTGAGTGTTTTATTGCTTCCCATTTTCCATTTGAGAGCATACTAGAGGTGGAAAAATAGAAACAGGCATCTTCCTGGTATTCATCTGCACATAAGCTATACTACCGCTTAGGCTAAAGTCAAATTTGAGATGAGAAACTGAAATGAGTAAAATAGGGAATAAAATGGTATTTGTTCACCCAGTATAAAACTATATCAAGTGAAACAAAAGTCTAAGCCTAAATTACATTATTATCCTAGATTCAACAAAATATTAAATTCTATTATAAATATTTGGAAAGTAACAAAAGCCTCCAATGGGATGCTATTTAAATCTATTCCTAAAATGTACTTTCCATCACAGTCACAAGTAAAAGTCCTTTTCTAGTATCAGGAATGTGGTTTCTTAAAAAGTCTGTTCTCTGGGTTCAATCAATTATCTTTGTTTTAGTAGTATGGTGGTTAACATTTGAATGAAAACAGCTTTATTTTGTCTACAGTTAAGATCAACAGAAGAGTTCTATGATGTGAGATATCCTTATGCTCTTGGTTCAAGGGAATGCCTGAATTTCTACAACAAATGTCTATTGTTTTCTTGTGGAATGTTATTGACAGATTCTTACACATGCCTTAGATTCCTATAAAAATTGCTTGCAAGCAAACTGCTTTGTAACAATACAGCATTGTCACATCAATATAACAAAAACAGCAAGTTTGGCTAACCTTTAATCTCGGGTGGTGACATGAGTTATACTTTCATGTTCCGTAAGAATATTTAACATATGGCTAAATAATTTATGGCACTCTGCAAAGTTTGCTTTCTCCCCCATCCCTATCACAATAATTGTGTACGCTGATACACAATTACTAAAACACACATTTCCCTCTAGGCCTGCTGAGTCTTTGGGGGGCTAAGTTCTTTCAATATGGCAATACTGGAACACCACCTGGAATCTTATAAGACATGCCTGGGGTGTAACCAGAGTTAGGTGCTTCTTAAAAGCTCCCTAAGTCACTCTCATAGGTAATTAGGTTTGAGAAACACTAGGATGGTAGCATGCGAAAGAAAATCGGCATCATGATCATGGGAGACAAGTAGCAAAACATTCATAAAAGCAAATGTCTTACTCAGAAGTCATGTGCCTGAGTGGTAGTCAAGAATAATAACTGGACATCCCAAGACAGAACTCACTATGAGACCCTATAGAACAATCAGTGTCTATTTATCTACCCAGTAACTCACAGGACCTTTAAGGAGGGAATGTGTTACTACTGCCTTGAACTGTTCCAAATTTCTTAAGCATAGAAAACACAAAAGCATTGCACAAAGAAAAGGAACAAAGCTGAGCACTTTCCAAAGGTGGATCCTAAGAGCCCTGTGACATCTCCCTGGTGCTTTTGGGGGTAGTTTTGAGAAAACTAGCTGAACTGATCAAGGAAGCCCTAGACTTCCACTGGTGGCACCAAACCTAAGCCAGGTGGGAAAGACTAAAAACATCTGAGTATCTTTCAGGCGTTCATACCTTCTCTTTCTGTGGTCATGTGGCTGTGAAAACCACAGGTTTCTTCCTCTCCATGAGAGGCCCCTGGCTAGGGGACTATGAAGAGCAAGAAAGTCTCAAGTATGCCTTTCACAGTTTTGTTAAGGGGGGTCTCTTTAGCAGACAGAACAGTAGTTTCCAGATCTAGGAATGGTGTGGGATTTCTAGAACACACCACACACTCCATCACCTACATTTTCTTTGAATCTGGCCTAGCCTACAATTGAATTAAAATAGTTCATCAGATTTGATAACTAAAATGGAAAGAACAGAAGAAAAATAGGAAAGAGAATCAAGCTTCTTTGCAGAAACCTAAAACTTAGTTTTGCTCCTTTGACATCAGTCACAGGAAATTCAGAATACAGTATCTCCAGTCCGATTTCCAGGGCAGAACAAGAGGTGCTTCCTGTGCCTGTTTTCTTACTTCTCTACCACCACTTCAAGAGAGGCTGGAAGAGGTCCCGGAGACAAAGGGAAGTTTTTCACTTTGGTTTCTTTGAGTCTCCAATGATTAATAAAAATTTTAGACCTTTTCAAAGTATATAGATTTTTCCCAAGTTTTTTGTTGTTAGTTGATTGCTTTTTTGTATTTTTGGTACAAAGCTTTGAGCTTTTTGCTTTATGTCTGAGAACTCTCTTATGTAATCTCAACTTCTATTTTCCTTGCATTAGTTAGGGAGCTTTGAATTACTGTAAAGTCTATTTCAGTATTTTTATACTCACTGTTGCAATGTTTCAAAGCCTTGTTCTTTATAGAGCAGTTCTTGCTTCATCTGTGAAAGTTCTCTCTTTAGCTTTTTAACCTTTTATGAGAAATCAACATAAATATTGTTTGTAAAAATAGAAACATTGCATATTATTTTAAAGGATAATATAAATTATTCAACACACAAAGCCACTATTTTAAGTAACCATACAGTTTCTTTACATAAACTTTATAGAAGGTCTACTCATTATATGTAGTGTTTTTATCTCACACCCGAGACAATACTATTAACATATTTCTTTATTCTCTTTCCAAACAAGTTAAGTCCTTCTCTCAAGCTTCTTAAATTCCTCACACTTGTCTCCCTCACAGTCACTCTTGTCTTCTCTAGTATTAATTCTTGGTCCTCCTCATCCTAAACTTTGACTAACCATATCTAACTTACAATCTTTACTATCTGTACGTTCTGGCAACCACATGGCTATCCTCAGTCACAAAGTGAACCTCTTTTCTCCGATCTCTTGCCTTTGCTCACACAAAATATCCTCTGAAAATTCTCAATACTAACCCTTCCACTAAAAGTACCCCAATAACATCAGACCCCACACACTTTTCTTCTAATCTCTACCATTTTCCCCTTAAACCTCCCCAGTAGTGTTTCAGACTCCTCATCCAAACACCTTCCAATTTGCCCACCACCTGACCTACCTGAGTGCATAACAATCACAAATAATAAACTGTGATAGTGTGCACAGAGGGGAAACTACTAGTATAAACTACAAGGACTATCATGTTGTAGTGTTAGAAGACTGAATCTATGGACGCTGTTATAATCAGATGTAATTCTTTCAGCAAAATACAGGGATAGAGTTTAAATCACTTAAAGTAAGTAACAGAAAAAGTAAATACTAGCACTGGACATATAAAGCTGAAAATTATTCACGGGAAAGCAACATGCGACTAAAAATTCCATTTAAGTCACAAACTCTCCTCACTCCTCTATTCCCCAACCTCAAGTACCCTAATAAGAGGAGGGAAAAGGAAGGAGACACATACATGTAAAAGATCTATCTGTCTGTCTGTCTGTCTGTCTGTCTGTCTGTCTATCCATCCATCCATCCATCCATCCATCCATCTATATAACACACACACACACACACACACACACACACACACACACACACACAGAATGAGAACACAAAGAAATAAAAGATTTCCAAACCATTTCCCAATTCTCTTTCTCAAGGTAGAGAAACAGGTCACAAAGGGAGAAGAAAACAACTATCAGGTAGCAGAAAATCTATGCAGAGCTTACAATAAACAACAGCAAAAATCAACAAGTGGGGTTAGATCAAACTGAACAGGTTCTATGCAGCGAAAGAATCAGTAGAGTGAATAGACAACCTACAGAATGGTTAAAAACAAAACAAAACAAAACAAAACAAAACAAAACAAAACACCTGCCAGCTACTACTCAAAAACAAAGAACTAAAAATAAAATCTAGAATATACAATATCTTGAACATGCATTATCCAAAAATACATGAATAACTAAAAAAAAAAAAAAAAAAATCAAACCACCAAAAGTGAAAAATCCAGTAAGAAATGAGTAAGAGAAATTAACAAACACTTCACAGAGGGAGAAATACAGTCAACAAATATATGAAAAAATGCTCAACATCTCTGGCCATTAGAGAAATGCAAACTAAAACAATCCTAAGATTCCATTTTATTCCAGAAAGCATTGCAATCATAAAGAAATTAAACAATAAAAAATGCTGGTGAGGTTGTGGTTAAAACAAGGAATTCTTCATTGTTGGTAGAAATGTAAACTAGTACAAACATTATGGAGATTAGTAAGGAAATTTCTGAAAGAACTGAAATTTAAAATTCCGTATGACCCAGTAATCTTCTTGGTAGGTATCTTCCCCAAAAAGCTAAAGATATTATGTCTATGCATAAATACACTAATGTTTGTAGCAGCTCAACTCATAATAGCTAAATCCTAGAAACATCCTATATACCTATTAACAGATTACTGGATGAAGAAAATGGGGTATTTCTATATAATGGAATACTACTCCATTATAAAAAAGACAGATTTGAGACACTTGTAGGAAAGTAGATGCACCAGGAATGTATAGTGTTGAGTGAAATAAATCAGACACTCAAGCTTAAATACCATACACTATCTCTCACTTGAATGAGGCAAAGTACAAACAAAAAGAATAATAAAGGATGGATAGAAGGGAACAAAAAGATGGATCTCTTACAATAGGGAAATGGTCCAAGAGAAAAAGATATGCCTGGTACAAGAACTTAGTAACTTTTACTGCAAACATTACATGCTACAATGTGAGCTAAGATTAATAATAATAACATTGAAAAATGGGATAGAGAAAGTGGAGAAGGGAAAGAAGGAGAAGGAGACAAAAAAGGAAGCAGGCTGCGCTATGTACGCATTACCGCTCCCCAAGATGACTGTAAACTGCATCAACTGCAAACATATACTAGTAATACTAGAAATTAGAAGTTTAAAGAAAACCAGACATGATTCCCACTCTCAATGGATCTTACAGAAGTATGAAAGAGTCAGATATTTAGCAAATAAATCAAAATAAATCTTACTGCTGTAGTTTGGGATTTTGCAAGGGGAACAATATAATACAGGACACATATTTTATAACATTATTTTATAATAGTCACCCAAGAAGCATATACAAAGACAATGTAGGAAATTTGTCCACACACTAAAGACCAAAGAATCCAGTTGAGGACCTAGATCCCACAACAGTTCCTGCATGAGCCCAGCTGAAGACCTAGAGCCCATAACAAAGCCTCCCACAAATCCAACTGGAGGGAGACCTGGAGCGCACAACAATATCTCATGCAAGTCTGTTTCACAGACTGCACTGGAAAGGCTCAAAGGTCTGTGGTGGAAGTTTTAGAAAGTCTGTGCCAGTGAGATGAAGGATCTGTGCCAGCAGGCTGAGGGATCTGCACTGGAGCCATGAAGCAATGCTCAAAATAAGAACCTGAGCTCACCTGAAAGGTACCACAACCATCCTCAGTGACAGTGAGGTCCTGAGCTCCTCTGATGATGAGAACAGCCGAGTCCTATCAGGAAAGCCATCACGACAAGCTTCTCCAAGAGACTTAGCTGTGCACCATCTCTCCCCCTGCCCCCATGTTCAATGTGAGGACCAGAGCTCCCCCAAAGTAAACCTTAGCCATTCTCAGCAACAACCAGGCCCTGAGCTCCTTCAAGGATAAGAATAGCCAGGTTCATCAGGAAAGCCACCATGACCAAGTCTTCCAAGAGAACCAACAACTCCCAACAGCTTCTCTTTCTTCTCCAGTTCTGCCTCTTATGCTGGGCGCAACAGTCCAAAGGTAGGCCTCCTACACCCAGTACCACACTGGTTTAGTTCAACTGGGTGTTAACAAAGTGACCACCACTTGTCAGTCTACCTCACTTACCAATTACCATGGGTAGTACGAAGGAAAAATTCAGGATATAGTGAGATATACAGGAGCTGGGGTAAAGGACACACATACTACCCCAGTCTCAGAGACTGGATAGGGCTTCCCTGTGGAAATAAATGGTTAAATTGAGGGGTAGTGGGGCTTATTTGGTAGAAAAGTAATCCTCAACTTGCTAAAAAATGCTAAAAGTGTGTGGGTGGAGGAGGTGTGTGTGTGTCATTTAGAGCATGTTACTGTTGCTGGATTGAAGAGGGGAGGGGTGGCATACGATGGGATTGCACTAGATAGTCTTGGAGCCCTGCTGATGATTTCTAAGACTTATTTTAAGAACAGTGAAAGTGAAGGAAGGATTTTTTAAAGCAGGATCACTTAAGATTTTAAATGATCATGAGGACTCTGCTCTGACCGGCCTTATGGGTGGTCAAAGTGACAAGGATACCTTCACTGTGGGTTAGTCTGTGGGGAAGTGCTGTAGAGAGTAAGACCCAAAGGAGACAGAACTTAACAGAATTCAGTAATGGACTCTGTGTGATGGGTGAGAGGCAAAAAGGTATCACACATCGCTGTCAGGCTTTTGGCTTGGCAGCTAGGTGGATAACATATTCCTACCAGCTAGAACAACTAGTGGTATATGTCTCTCGGCTACATCGGCCAGCTTGCACCACTGGTGGTACAAATGGATGTAATAATTTTTATCAGTCTTTTTACTAATAAAATTAATAAAAAGATGCTCAGTGACAGTTGTATAAGTACCACCAGTGGGTCCAGACACCTGGCAGCTGGCTAGACATATGAATTAAAGCCTCATTGTGAACATGTTAAAGTATTTTAATGCAGAGTGGGACCAAATTTTGTAAGATTTCAAAAGCAAGTGGCAGGCTGGGGAGATAGATCGGCAGTCTAGGCATCCACCTGGCAAGTGCAAGGACATGGACTTGATTCCTAGTACTGCATGCCATGCCAGCCTGGAACCCCAGGAGCGCCATGCTGGCCACTGATCCCAGGTGTGGTGGCACATGCCTGGTATCCCAGCACTGGGGAGGCTGAGACAGGAGGATCACTATGAATCTGAGCTGCGTAGAAAGACTCTGTACCAAATAAATAAATAAATAAATAAATAAA